ATAAAGTGGCTTTGCAAGTCACAGAGTTGTAAATCTTGCTCTTGTGCCAAAATTGCCTGAACTTGCTTAGTCAAGACTAAGAATAGCAAACCAGATTCACTTGTCATCAGACCCTTTCCCTTCTTCTTCCTGAAGAAGTTTCGTTTATCCCTGTCCCTGAGAGGAGGCTTTCGGCTTGCAGAAAAATTTGGTAAAGATTTGGTGAAAATTCAAAAGAATTAAAGTTTTAAAATCTTTCCTTTTTTTTCCTAATTATACTTAGGTTAACTTATTTCTTTATCTCATAGCAACCATAAAGGAGCTGACTGAGTAGGAAGATAGGATATCAAATTATTCACCGGAAAAATGCATGTTTTCCCCAATTTTCTTAAGACTTTTATAAATTTCATTAACATGAAATATAACAACACTTAAAGATTTCTAATTAGAGTAAAACTTTTCTCACCTCAAGGCTGGGTGTGTTTTTCCTGTCTATGTGCTGAAGTTGAGCAGTTGTCCTAGCCATCTCCACCATTCCCCATGGTTGACAAACTAACTAAGAAACAGCTGCATGAACAATGACACCATAGCCAAGCAACCATGACACTCAGTTCCTTTAAAAAGATGTAGGGATTAGATGGGAAGTTGTTTTGATATTGGAATGTTCAGGTAAAAAAAAAAAATTAGATATGACTAGATTTCCATTTGCTGAAGGTAGTTCATGATTACCCGTCTTCCACTTTTGTCTGCAGTAGTCTTGAATTTGACCACAAAAGACACAGGGGTGTATATTTAAAGCGGATTTCTAATGGGACCAAGAGAAATGTGCCAGCAACTTAGCCAAGGGAGGTCATGTATCAGAAAGAAGCTGATTCTATTTCACATGCCCATAGCGTCATCAACATTCTTTGGCCTCATAAATCACACTCAGTGGAATGGTATACATTCTGAAGCAAAGAGAAACAAAATCACACTCATCATTTATCAGGCTTAAATTTCCTCATACAAAGTAATTAAAAACTCATGGTTTAGAATTAAAATTCTAAAGATAAGCCTTACTCCCTTCATCACATAC